TTCTTAATAATTTGGTGTTTTTAGTATTTTTTTTCAAAATTTCCAGATATATTCCATTATGATCATCAAATATATGCTAGGTGTTCAGTACATTTTTATTAATTTGAGATTTTATTTATGGCCCAATCTTTGGTCACTTGAACTTAAAAATAATTTACATTACTTTTATGTAGTATCAAAATAGCATGTTAATTAAAAAAAATCCTATCAGTCAAATTCTCTATATTACTACTGATGTATTTGACTTTTTGATCTGTAAGTTGCTTTATGCATTTTAGCATTCTGTCAATGGATGCTTACATATTTAGGTTTGTTATGTATTCCTACTAGGTTGACAATTTTGCCATCATAAAATATCACAATTATTTTTAATTTAACTTGACAATGTATGACATTAGTATATCTTATGATCTTACCAGTCATTAGTGTATGTGTAATGTTTCTTCTCCAATAGTAAGAAAGGTAAATTGTGTGTCTTTGTATTTTAAGTATATCTGTTATAAGAATCATGTTGTTGTCAGATATTGATTTTTAATCCACTGTTAAATTTTCTAATGGCTTTATGATGGGTTTACTCCATACACAATTTTGTGTGTAAGAGCATTTAACATAAGGTCTGATGTCCTAAAAAAAATAATGCAATATTATTATAGATATGCTATACAGTAGAGCTCTAGAACTTATTCATCTTACCCCATTTATTTAATTTATTTTTATTAATTTTTTCTTACATTGTTCATTTTTGTACACTATATTTTCTATCTTGCTTCAGGTTTAATCCCAATAAATCTCTCACCAGCACATCATACATGAGCTATCACCATAGTTCCCTCTGCTTTTCCTTCCCCTGTTTTGATCCTTCTCCATCCTCATCAACTGTTTTATACCTTATATCTATATTTTACCTGTAAGTTTGATCTTTTTTTATTCCTTTGGCACTTTGTTTAGTTTCCCTACATTCCTCCTATAGGTGAAATCATTCCATATTTTTCTTTTACTTTTGACTTTTTTCACTGAGCATCCCTTCCAGCTCCATCCATGTTACTGTGAATGGCATGAGTTTATTTATTTATGATATTTGGGTGGTATTGTGTACAATGTATATGATGCCACCTGTTCTTGATCCATTTATCTTTTATTTTTTATTTTGTTGGCATTTAGTTTGTTTCTATATCTTCACTATTATAAATAGTGCTGCAAAAAAGCATAAGAGTATAGGGTTCCTTTTGAATTAATGTTTCTATGCCTTTGGGTAGATTCCTTGGAGTGGAATTGCTTGCTCAAATGGTAGGTCCATTTTTAATAATTTTAGGAACCTCCACACAGCTTTCCATAGTGGTAAGACAAGTTTGCATTCCCACCAGCAGTATAAGAGGGTGACTTTTCCTCCACATCCTCACCATCATTTGTTATTGCCAACATTGTTTTCTTTTAATGTGGGCCGTTCTCAATTGTATGAGGTTGTATCTCATTGTAGTTTTGATTTCTATTTCCCTGATTATAAGTGATAATGAACATTGCTTCATATGCCCTTAGCCATTTGCATTTCCTATTTAAATATGTCTCTTTAGCTTGTCTACCCATATTTTAATTGGGTTGTTTGCTTAGTTTATGTTGAGTTGTATTATCTCTTTGTACATCTTTGATATCAGTACTTATCCTCATATGGAGTGAATATATTTTCTCCCAATATGTAGGGCATTATTTTGTTTTGGTTATTGGTCTCTTTTGTTCTATGGAAGCTTTTTAGTTTAATGTAGTCCCAGCCATTAGTCTTTTCCTTCATTTTCTTTGCTTCTCAGAATGGGTCCTCAAAGATGTATCTGAGATAGATGTAATGGAGTGCTTTGTTTTTGTTTTTGTTTTTGTTTATATATATATCATGGTTTCAGGTCTTACATTCAAGTCTTTTATCCAGTTTGAGTGGATTTTGTGTATAGTATGACATAATAGTCTAGTTTCATTCTTTTCATATAATGGTCCAGTTTTCCCAGCACCATTTATTGAAGAGACTATCCTTGCTCTAGTGTATATTCCTTAATCCTTTGTCATATATTAATTGACCATATGTGTGTGGCTTTATTTCATGGTTTTCAAATGTATTCTATTGGTCTGTATGTCTATTTTTGTTACCATACTGTTCTGTTTAAAATATTATGGATTTATAGTATAGTTTATTGTGGAATGTCTCAGATCATCCCCCTTTATTCAGGAGAGCTTTGGATTTTCAAAGATTTTTATGACTCAATATAAATTTCAGCAATATTTATTCCCATTCTTTGAAGAATGCCATTGAGACATTTGTTTGAATTGCATTAAATCTGTAACTGCTTTGGGTTAGATGGCCATTTTGATGTGTATTCTTCTGATCCATGAGCAGGTAATGTTTTTACATTTCTTATGTCTTTTTGTATTTAATTAGCAATATTTCATAGTTTTATTTGTTTAGGTGTTTCACCTTGTTTGTTAGGTTCATGTACAGGTATTTAATCACTTTGGTACAATTGTAAAAGGGGCTGTTTTCTTTATTTTTTTCATTTTCACTATTGATTTTTGTGTGTTGATTTTGTAACCTGCTTCTTTTCTGAACTGATTTATTGTTTTGATTAGTTTTTCTGTGGAGTTTTATAGGTCTTTATATATATGTATATATATGTATATATATATATATACATACATATATATTATCATACCATCTACAAATAGTGATAGTTTTGCTGTTTTTTTCTCTATTTGGATTACTTGCATATTTAATTGCTCTAGCTATGTTTTACAGTATTATATTGAAAAGCAGTATTGAGAGTGGACATCCTTGTCTTGTTCCAGACTTGAAAGGGAAGGCCTTCATTTTTTCACCATTAGATTATTAACTATTGGTTTGTCTAATATGACATTTATTATGTAAACTTATGTTCCTTCTATCCCAAGAATTTTGAAAGCCTTCATCATAAATGGATTTTGAATATTTTCAAATGCTTTCTCAGTGTCTGATTCAATCATTTGGTTTTCATTTTGTTAATGATATTAATTTCGTTAATTGATTTTAAGATGTTGAACCATCCTTGTGTCTCTGGAGTAAATCCTACCTTGTCATGTGCATTATCATTTTGATACATTGTTAGACTCAATTTGCTAGAATTTTGTTGAGCATTTTTGCATCTGTGATCATTAGTGAGATTGGTCTGTAGTTTTTCTGTGTGTGTTGTCTTTGGTTGTGGTTTTAGTGTTATGTTGGCTTTATAAAATTTATTTATTTATTCAATAGTATTCCTTCTTTTTCAAGTTTTGAAAGAGTTTTTGAACATTTGATAGAACTCTTGTGAAATCATTTGGACATGGGCTTTTGTTTTGGAGGAGGTTTTTTATAACAGTTTTAGTTTCACCACTTGTAATTGTTTTGTTTAAGTTTTCTATTTCTTCTTTATTCAACTTCGGATGATTGTACAGTTCTAGTAATTCACCCATCTCATCTAGATTTTTGAGCTTGTTCACATATTAATATTGATTGTAATCTGATTATCCTAAGGATTTCTGTTTTGGCTGTTGTAATTTCTCCCCTTTCATTTATAAACTTAATTAATTTAGTTTTCTTTTTTTTTTTTCTTTGTGAGCCTGGCACTTTTGGGTCTTTTTGTTCTTCTTTTTCTAGTTCTTTGAGATGGGAGATTAGGATTTATGGGGGGGAGGAGTGTTCTTTCATGCTTCTTGATGTGGATTTGTATTGCTATAGACTTTGCTCTTATTGCTACTTTCTTTGTATAACATACATTCTGAAAAGTTGTGTTCTCTTTGTAAACTTTCAAATGTATTTTTGAATTTATTCTTTGATTTTGTTGTTAATCCAGTGGTCTTTCAATAGCATATTCTTCAATCTCCATGTAATGGAGTGGGGGCAATTGTCCTTGCTTTCTTTTTGTAGTTGATTTCTAGTTTGATGTTTTTATGGTCAGAAAACATAGTTTATATGATTTCAAACTTCTTTTGTTTGTTGATCTTTGCCTTGTGTCCCAGTACATGTTCTACCCTGGAAAATGACCCATGTGCATTTGAGAAAAATGTATGTTTTTTTTTTAAGGCCCATGTGTTGTGTGTTGTAGGTCCATGTGTTGTATGTTTAGAGCCTTATATCTGTTTTTTTTGTTCTCAATCTGTCCATTGGTGAGAGTGGGGCATTGAATTCTCCAAACACATATGTATTTTCTCCAATGTCTTATCTTGTAGAATTGTTTTACTGTCATTTACTTTTAAGTTATATTTGTCTTCGGTCCTTAAATAGGTTTCCTGGGGAAAGCAGATGATTGGGTTCTGTTTTTAAATCCAGCCAGCTACTCTATCTTTTTATTGATATGCCTAATCCATTTATATAGATATATAAGCTCATTATTAATACATGCAAATCAGTAATTGCCAATTTATTCATTGATTTGTGTTTCTATTCATTGCCTTGTTCAGTTCCTCTTGTTCATTCCTCTCTTGGCTTAGATTTTTAAGTTTCTTATAAGATGTTTAGAGTATGTAGTAGTGATTCTAAACATTTTGCTTGTCTGAGAAGTTTCATATTTTTTCTATCATATAGGAGAATTTTGCAGGATAAATTATTCTTACCTGACATTGTTTCTCCTGGAATTTTTTGAGTAGACATTCTCTTTTTCTCCTGTAGTATTTATTCAGAGAAGTGAGATGTCATCTTGTTTGGTTTTCTATTATAGGTTATCTCTTTCTTCCTCTTTATCAGATTTATTATTTTTACATTATCTTGGATTGTAGGAAGCTTTACTGTTATGTGTCTTACTATAGTTTTTCTTTTTCTTTCATTGTGGTAATCTGGTGTTCTTTTAGCTTCCTTTATCTGCTTTCATCTCTTTTTTCATGCTTGGGAACTTATCACCTTGAATATATTTCAGGTCCTTTGTGTCCTTCTTCACCATCTGGGATTCCTAAAACTCTTATATTTCCTTTCCCATGGTGTCAGATAGTTCAATATGTTTCTTCATTTTTTCCCTTTTGTTCTTCTTTCCTTTTTTTTTGAAACTTTATATATCTATCTTTGACAATACTGATATGTTCTTCCATTTCATTTATTCTGTTTTTGTGTTTTTTAACACCCTTTAATTATTTTTTTTCTTATTTGAAGATTCATTCTCATTCACCAGTTCATGATTATAATTCTCATATCATTCTTTTCCTTTTCTTCATATGTATGGCTTTATTATTATGATGATCATCCTAATGTCTTTATCTGTCAGGCAGACAAATTATTTCGTCCACATCAGTGTTGGATTCTGGGGCAGAATTTTATTTTTGTGGTGTGCTGTTCTCTAAGAGCTTTCTTGGCCATTTGTATATTTCATTTTCCCCTATTTTTTGCTTTCAAATTTGTTGTTTTTGTATAACCTTAGTGTCATTTGTGCTGGCAGGCATGATTTTTGGGGTGCTCCTAATGGAACATTGGGGATTGAGAGCCAAGTCAAACCTGCAAAATCATGCTGTGCTTCAAAAACTTTAGTGGTGTGCGCAGGCTGATTTATGCTAACCTCCAAAACTTCCAGGTCTCTGTGTACTGCTGGTCCATCACCCATGCACGCCCCTTCCTTTAGTCTATTCACTTTTAACGTTTAAATATGTTTAAGTTTAATTCTAATATCTCATTTTTGGTCCATGTTTTTCTTTAGTTCTTTTTTGCCTTCTTTTGTATCAAGCAAATATTTTATCACATATCTTTTTGTACTCCAGTTAGTTGTATATTATTTTTATTATTCTGTTTATATTAAGATTACAATATTAATTTTTAATTTACTAATATTTAGCATATATTAATATTTTACTGCTTCACATGCAATACAAACAAACACTTTATATATTCCATGATCCTTTGCCATAAATATTAACATAAATTTTATTTTCATCTATTTCTAACTCTAATACCATCATTATATTTGTAATTAATTAACAAATATGTTCTGTATTCACATAGATGCTCTTTATGATGCTCTTTATTCTGCTCATCACCTTGGGTAATTTCTTTCTACTTAAAGAATTCACACTAGTATTTCATTTATTGCTTCCTGCTGGCAATGAAATTCGCAATTATTTTTTGATTTTTGTAAGCATGCCTTTATTATATTCATTTTTAAAGAATATTTTCAGTTATATATTAAATTTGCAGGCTCTTTTTTCATAAATTAAAAATATTCCATTGTCTTCTGTGTTCTATCATTCAGTTTACTCTTTATGTCAACATATAGATTAGTATCACCTGTGTACCAAATCAATATGTATATATGACATATATTTATAATTTTTATATTTATAATTTATAACATAGAATAAACAAAAGTGAAACTAAGAATACCTTTGAATATGAAAACAGGAATCCATTCAGCATGTTGAACTTCCAAGCTGTTAAATTTCTAGTAGCCCATGTCAAAATATATTCTAAACATTCAATTAAGTCAATATGATTTAAAACAAGCTATTCACAATATTGAGCTATTTCAGACATCAGTGAAGTTTCCTTTTTCAAAGACATTCAGAGAAGAGATTATTTTTTATTATTAGTTTACCTCCTTGCTTTTTTTCTCAGAGCAGAGGCTTTTAATTTTTTTTTTGTTTTTCTTTTATGCTTTTTGTACATCATTATTTATTTTTGTATAATGTATGCTGTATGCTTTCTCATCTTGGTTGTAGTCCCCATGAAATATTCCACTACTTTACCTAGTAGTTTTAAAATAAAATCTTGGCTAACCCACACATACAAATTCTGCTTCACATGTCGATCTCAATCATTTATTTTTGTTAAATTCAAACAAACCTTTAAAAAAAAGATTTATTTATTTATTCATACAGAACTGTAGTA